TCTTCAGGAGACATCGGAAAGCACAGCTCAGGAAATTCTCATGCGAAACCTTCGATGTTCGATTCTCGCGTTTGGCTGGCTTGCTAGCTTCTCTGATGCTCTTTCTTCTCTTGGCGAAACCGATCGAAGAGCCCGGTCCGAGAAGACAAACTCCGACAAAGGAAGCACTATCAAAATACATCAATACACAACATCGCATATGAACGTCGACTACAGCGAAGACGAGCTTAGTGGCTTCTCAGCTGTTGGGTTTGTTGGCATCTGGGCTGGTTGCGGCTGGTGGCAGGTTCATCATATATCTCATTTGCTAAATTCCCCCGGTGGCCCGCGACTCGGGTGACCCGCGGCTTGCGACAGGGCAAAAAAAGAGACCGGTGGAAGCATCACATAAAAGAGCTTGTGTACCCATCTCTGGACAGGGATCCACAGCAGGAGGATGGCCGCTCAGGCTCTGAGCTAAATGTGTTGGGTTTACTTTTCCACCACGCATAGAACAACTACCCTTCTCTTCAGGCCAAAAGAAGGGTAAAACATGCCGAGGCTATGCTTCGGTTAGTAGCAGCAAAATAAACGACCAGCTGCTTTCTTTCAACAAAGACACAAAAACGAAGAAGCAACCTCCGCGGTTCTTTCTGCTTTGGGCTGTGGAATTCAAACAACCGCTGTTCTACTCTTACGAAGAGGCACAAGAACTCCTGGAACTGTAAAAAGAACATAGTAGGGCTCATTCGCCCGTGCTGGCAAGTAGGCACCCGACATGGAATAGCAAACAGTCATCCGTCATGGGTTTCAGGTGGCTGTCACATGACACAAACAAGTACAGTGAGTAGGGATATGTGTGGGTGGTGCCTACAAAGCATCGCAAGTTTCGATGTCTTGTATGCCTGAAAGATAACCGGCAAAGACGGGAGATTGTGGAGGAACTCGACACGAACGAAGGTGTGGATCATGGGAGGGGGGGTGACCACCTCCATACATACAGTACAATCACACTCTATAATATATATATATATATATATAGAGTACATAATCGTGTGTATTTATGCATATGCAGTACACATGCACGCATATCTGCTTTTGTGCTTCTACTTATCTTTGCCTCCACCGGTGCCTGCACAGGTAGTGGCTGCGGCAGCTGCACCGCATCGAAACACGGCACCTTTCTGGCAGACTCTGCGAGCTCACGGACTTACTCGCGAGACTCCGGCCACGGTCCGGCCTCCTTCACGGAACAGTTGCCCATGGCTCTGGGCCCAACCACAGAAAGCGAAAAGACCTGAAAACTAAATCCTGCAGGTTGTGCACCTCAACTATGGGCAGGTTGCGCACGAGCTCGTATCCCTTGCCTGCATGGTTGACTAGATGCAGGCAGGCCTGTCTCTGGGATGGGCAAACTACTACGCCCTGAATGTAGCGACCAGCTCGGCATGGAGCTTTTGCTGCCTCCTGTACGATCAACCGTGAGGGGATTGAAACTGCAGTGGTCGGAAGTCGGAACCCTTCAATTCCCTCACATGCTGTCCAAACGGCTGCGGTTGGGCGGCAGTGGCACAGAGAAGTATCGGCAGTGATGTCAGCAAGGCTTGTTAGTTTGTCTGGTTTTGAAAGCAGAACGATTCAAGCAAAAACTGCTACTCTAAGGCCAGGCTATGCTCGCGAACCAGCCAATCCGACTGCACGTGGGCAGAACCGGAGGAGCAAACTGAAAGCTCCAACTGAACCTTATCTTTGCTCAGGTCCATGTCTCGCCTCAGCCACCGTTGCCATCACTTCGGCAGCCTGCATGGAAGACGGTCTTGCTCGCTGCACACTTAGCGATGCAGGCTGCGCAGGTTCAATATCAAGGGTGAGGATGCCAAGTACCACGGCAAATCACTGAAACTAGGGTGATGCTGATAGTGACGATGATTGCAGCGGCGCTGCATCCTGGGCATGATTTCTGATGCGATGCCGGCAATTGTAGCGATTTTGGTTTTAAGATAGTGGCGATGATGTGGGCGAGAAGATTGTCAAGATGAAAAAGCAGCAACTTGGAACACGCAACCATGAATATACGTTTGTTGATGCTCATGATGATGATCATGATCATGCTGGACGTCATTTTCATGCGATTGACTGCTTCGAGGGTGCGCCTGATCGATCTCAGAATGATGCTGTGGCGGTGGTGGTCAACATCATCAAAGTCACTCATCATCGTCACCATCAACATCATCATCTGCATCATCATCAGCATCACCATCACCATCAGCATCATCATCATCATCATCATCGTCATCCACATAATCGTTCCGCCGTGGCAATGTGCAGTTTCCTGCTGCTAATGATGCTGATGGTGAGGAAGATGCAGAACATTCGCAGGATCTGCAGTTAGAATCGAAAAGTTGAGAAGCCTCGGCGAGGAGTTTGCCCCAACACGCCTTGTACCATGCAACATCAGATATCTTGCAGTCGATGGCCACGCCTGGCTGGCACGGCCCCCATCCGCCTGCCCACAGATTTGTACGAACAGCTAGACGGGCTCGCCGGTCGCGTGCTGTTCTTAGACAGAGTGGTCTGGCTGGAACGACGTCGATCTGCCGACGGCTCCTGCAGAGCCTTCGGCCCAGGACATCGACCCGCAGATCCCACGACTGGTGAACTCCCTCGCCGGTGCCAAGTCCTGGAGAGAGGTCGGAGACCGGTAGAGAGGATACATTAAATTTTGGAGTTCTTTGAAATTAGTGGATTGCCCAACTCCATCCGACGGTTTGGCATGTTATCAGATACGTCGCCGCATGAGCCAATTCGAGGATGGCCCATGCCCATCTTCGAGGTGCAGAAAAGGGAAGTGGGCCGCAGTGAAGTGGACGCGCTGTCAATGAGGTCGCTGCTGCACCAATGAGAATGTCGTGCTTGCTGAACTTTTTCCCTGGCATGATGCTGGCACGCACGGTCAGCCCCAGCCATCTGCATCGGTGAGTGGCTCAGAGCCCCGCGTGTCAGTGATGGGAAGAGACTCTGAGAGATGCCTGGCGGGGTTGATGACCAGTCTTCGGAACGAGCCTCGGCCGACTCCTGTGCCTGCTGTTACACAAGCTTCCAGCGCCCAGCACTCTGTGACTGCATTGCTTCGATAAGTCCAGATCAGCGTGTTGCCTTGATGCGGCTGGCTTTCCTGCACTGAGAGATTTGTAGGATCAGCCAGAATCGTTGCGCCGCACTTTTGCGAACAATTCTTGCACGAGCGCACTTAGAGTTGCACCCAGAGGCCGCGTCCGCATCTGAATAGGAGGTTGCTCAACCAGCCTCAGGACTCTACTCCCATCTCCCAACCTTGCCGAAGTCACGAAGCACCCCCTCAATTGCATTTATCTTATCGATCACGTTTGCTCCCATGTTGGGACATGCACGGCAGTGATAAATCTACTTTCAGCCACGCTTCACACTAGTTGAAAGTCCTCATCCCTCTGTGATCCAGCTGTCCAAATCTCAGACCGGCTGCCAAAGCAAAAGCCTTGTCCCCCCTGGGAGTTTCCGTGCTTCGGCGTGGTCGCACGCGGCAGGCGGTGAGCAGAATCCATGTCCTGGCGACATCGCGAACATGTCTGAAAGTGATGTTCATTATGTCCCCCTTTTTTGCCATGTAGCGCAAATGCACAGCCGAACGACCAAAGCCTCCTTCTGTGTGGGGAAATCAATCACCATCGATCACCCCGCCCGTCTTCTTCAAGCGACAAAGACTGAGTCAGAAAGTCGCGCCTGACCCGGAATCTCTCGTGAACGAAAACAACACTCCCGGCAGAGACGGCAAAGTGGCGGGTTTGAGTAAGCTACTTGTGGTGTGGTTTGGACGCCAAGTTCGCCCAGCGCAAGCGTGGCGTGGTGCTTGTGGTCCTGCGCTCAGGTTGTTGCTCCGCCGGCTTCTTTGTCTCCCCCTGTCCCGCTTCACTCCTCGCTGTCAGACAGATCATTGCATTCACAGCAGCCTCCTCGCCCCCCCCCCCTCTGCCCTTCGCTTCGGCTGGTGAGCTCTGCTTTGCGGATCGTGTCGCAACTTTCTCCCACAAAAGACAATCATGCAGATCACGACAAATGCCAGCTACTGTTGCCATGTTGGAGATGTGAATGTGCCCAGCATGTTGAAACCTTGCGAGAGTCACGAGAAACGTGACACCAATCCCTGCGACTCTTGCGATCCCATCCCCCGAAAACGATAACCGGTGGGAGGGTGGACGGCGGGAGGGGAGGGCGGGTGGTGGGGAGTTGGGTGGGGCGGGAAGGGGGGAGGGGGGGGGGNNTATCGGACATGCTGCGGTACAGTGTGGCAATCAATTGTTGCGACTGGCATTAGCAACCATGGGAACCTGTTAGGGACTCATGCGAGCGACTCGGAATATCGTCAACATGTTGAAATGGAACAAGCAAGAACCGATAAAGAGCAGTCGTGCTCGGAACTTACCGTCCTCTGGTGGACCCGGCGTCCGGAAAGCGGGCCCGTGCGCTCGAAACAAGTCGCCCGGACATGCGGAGACCCCTTGTAGTCATGTCTATGAAACCTTCCAGCACATGGAGGGAAGTGTTGGCATGCCTCTGAATCCACTTGCGCATCGGGGGAAGCCCGTAAACAGTCCCCTCCTATAAGCTATCCTTTAAATCCTTCTATTAAGTCCATACACCCTTCCACAAACGCGCGACCAGAATGCTTCTTCAATTCAGAACCCGCCATGTACTGGCGGGTTCAGAGACATGACCACAAGGCATTTCCCCATGAACTGCGGCGGGATTCGGGACCGGTGTCTAGAAGCTTATGGTTATGGAAGAGTTGATAGGGTTGATCAAAGGGCTTGCATGGACGGATGGATGGATGGACGGAGGGACAGAGGGATGATGGATAGATGGATGGATGGATGGATGGCTGGCTGGCTGGGTCGATGGATGGATGGATGGATGGATGGAAGGAAGGATGGATGGATGCATAAACGGATAAATGGATGGATAGATGGATGGATAGATGGATGCGTTTATGGATTCGTGGATGGATTCGTGGATGCATATGTGGATGGATATGTCGCTGGATATGTGGATGGATAAGTGGGATGTGTGGATTGATGGATTGCTGGCTGGCTGGGTGGCTGGCTGGGTGGGTGGGTGGAGGGAGGGAGGGAGGGAGGGAGGGAGGGATGGATGAGGGAGGGAAGGATTGAGGGAGGGATGCATCGAGGGAGACACTCAAACATCTCCTGGGTTAAGCACTCGCTGAGGTTATCGGCACGGGGGGGCGCACTTTGGTCGTCATATTCGTCTCGTCGGTAATAGCTACATCCGCCGATGCCCTCGTTGATGTCCTGGGGAAGCTGTGCTGCCACACTCGGGGCCACGAATTGCTCCAGCAGGCGATCCGCAAAGATCCTTGCATGTTTCACGGCCCCGTCGGCTTAAGGATGGTCCGTTACGTGTAGCAGAACACTCGGAACGTTTGGTCCTGGTAGCACAAACAAGAGTACAGCATGTAAATCGAAACTGAGGATGGCACCGGCAGTGGCATTCATTGATGTTGATCCGGCAGCTGCAGCTTTGATACAAGCCTGCTTCATCCCAGGTGAAGTAGGGATAGTCCAGTGCTGCTGTAGCCACAAACCTGACGATCTCCTGAAGAAGAACATCGGGGTTCTGGCTGTTGCATTCCGGCGCCCGTTTGCCCCGCTCTTGTGGCCGGTAAGACTGGTGCTTGCATGAATTGCAGAGCTCAGCGGCCTACGGTCTACATGTAGAGTCGAGTGTCTGGCATGTTGCAAGCTACCAACAGTCAGAACTTGCAAGACTGCCTGAGAACTTTAAGTTTCCAGCTGCACTATTCTTTCTTTTGTTGTCGACTGCCCCTTGAATCTCGACTGTTTCACCACCAACCTTTCACAGAAGTGCCTCGTACGAAAGTGCTCTCGCTGTGGGGAATGTGTGAGAGAAGGAATACCAGTGTTCATCTCCACCGTCGTCCTGTAAGGGAGGCAAGGCAGTGGTAAGAGGCAAGCACCACAACAGTGTTGAGGCACAGTTTGGCTTCACGCACATGTCCTTCAAGCGACCTCGAATGCATAACCGAAACTTCAATACTGCCCTATTCCTCATCAGGCCGTACACTCCAAGCGCATAGAAATAGGACACACATGTGTGAGAGAGAAAGTGACCGGGTAGAATTTGCCCTTTTTGCTGCAGGCTTGCAAGCAAGAACGCCTGGCAGGTAGCCACTCTTCCGCCAGCTAGCACTGTGCTCGTGACAGCACTCCCAGCTTCTGAGCATGCAACTGAGAAACTTGACTGCAAGGTGGTTATCTAGACAATAGCGGCGATGCCTGCAAATTACGCTCCCTTATACCCCTGACCCCGCACCCGATGAAAACCCCCCCCCCTTCTGCCCTGCCAGCTCCACACCCTCGCCGGTCCACGAAGGCCTCACCCCGCCAGCGAGCCAGTTGGGAGATTGTGTTTGTCTTCTTCCCTCGCGGGCGTCGGAATCCTCAAGTACAGGCCACATCAGGATCATGAGCCAAGGAAGCTCATGATGCGAGTTGGTCGGACCTTACGGTTGGGAGGTCTCAGGCTGTCTAAGGGTTGGGGCTCGGCACTCAAGGGTTTTGTTGGATAGAGCTTACAGCAGCCTGGACTGGTGAACGTTTTCAGGTGCATTGAATTGCTGTCTTGTGTTACCCGCCCTCGGGCGAAGACCCTTAGAATTGGCACAAACAGGATGACGACACCTATCCAACGGGCGAAAACGTGCAAGGCACATTGCAGAGGAGGAGGAGGAGGAGGGGAGGAAAATGGCCCACAGGCCACCAACCCCCTTCCCCCCAAGCATCTCCGAGCAGCTCATCTGTCCTCATCGCCGCTCTCCGAGGGGGGTCGAGAGCCAACTTGCACAAATCCGAACAAAAATTGGAACGATTGTCCGAAAGCGCAGTCATGACCACCGCCTGGCCCACCACAGACGGAGCAGCCCCATCGGATGCAACGGGTCCTGGGCCATGGCTAGGTTAGATGGCACAGGAGCGGACGTACGAAGCCCAGCATCCGGTGATCCGCTCGGTATTGGCCTGTTCCCTACTATAACAGAGATCGGGGCATTCCGCACGATGGTGAAAGTGGTCGTGGAGCTTTCAACAACCGGAATTGATCCAGCCCCTTGGCCAAAGCGGCCAAGCCAATCCAACGAAACGGCCTAGCTCTCGGGAGCAAATACTCGTTCACATATGGCTCCACGATCACATTGCGCAACCGGCCCCACTCCACGCTCGCTCGGGTGCACATGCCTCAGGCTTCGTGGGAAGGATGTTGATCGGAGCCCGGCTTGGGCGCTCGATGCACATGCCGTCGGCCCAAACGTCGCTTCGTGGATGTCATCGATGGACCATGGGCGATTGGAATGTTCGGTTCGACAGATCGACCCGATGACACCGTGGACCCCAGGCCTGATGGGTGAAAGAATTTCGGCTCAGGGTGTCGGTCAGGGTCGATTCGATCTCATTCTGGACGATCATCGACGAGCAATCGCGCTCTTCGATAGACGTCATCGGCTGTCAGACTACTCGTCTGCGGCCGAACAGTCGATGCCTTCTCAACAGGTGCCGCGTGGCAACCCGGAGGGGAACCGTGTTCGATCGGACCAAGGAGCGATGATCGGGGTATCGAAGATGAGCCTCCAGGGAACAACGATCCTGGGGCAGGAGGAAGACCTTCCGGTCGAGGAATATCCTGATGGTGGTCACTGGTATCGAAGAATTGAACCCCGTCAGCTCGTGATGGAGTTGATCGCTCGGATTTATGCGATCTAACCTCGCGGTGAATTTCATCGATCGCACGCTCGGTAGAATCGCGACAGTGTGACAAACATGTTTCCAACTGAGCGGCTGTCGCAGCAAGATCGTCAACGAGGTCATCCGTTCTCTTCTTGTGATCGTGAAGAGACCGGGTCATTTCGATTCGGATCGCTTCGATGCGAGTTCTGCTCAACAGCACCAATCCGTGATACCCCATTGGACATGCCGATGCACAGCTGCTGCAAGCTTACAGGGTATCGATGAATTTCACTAATGGTCCGACAAAGCTTCACGCATATCGAATCGGTACGGTCTTCATTGAGAGTGAAGAAAGGAATCCAACAAGACGATCATTGAGATTGCTCTTCAACTGTTCGAACCTCTCATGGAGGGTATCGTGCTCGTCGATTCGCCGCTCCTGAGCAAGCTCAAAGTCACGGCGATTTTCATCGAAGTTCTTATCGAGCTCCGTGATGACATGTCTACGGAGATCCTCAATGCTTTGTCGAGGTTTTCGGCAAGTGTTGAGATCAGCACAGGTCCCAAGCACGCCCTGCACAACCGCCTGAATATCGATGGCGATGCGCTGGGCAGCATCAGGGCCGAGTGCGTCCCGAATCGGGGTGGTTGTGGCTCGGCGCGCCGCCACCATGGGCTGGGGCGCCCGTGGCGCCGCAGGAGGGCAAAAGCCCGTCCTGAGTGGACGGCTGCCCGCAAAGGGCAGCATGCGGCGGGTGCTAGGATGCCGGGCCACAATCGGATGGCCCCAGTCATCCTGCCGGGACGCAAAGAGGGCCCGGGCACCCTCAGGATCCCTGCGAAGGGAGAGAGGGCAAGACATCGTAGAGGATGCAAAACGCGACGCGAAGCAGCAGAAGCAGCACTCGCGTGAAAGCACGGCAAAGCGGGCAAGGCACGATCGGTTAAGCCTGTCATCGCGGCAGCGAAAGGCAAAGGCGGCACTGGCGGCGGCAAGGCACTCTGATCGACCTCGGCAGGCGTGGCATGCGAAGGCGTGGCAGCAGCAAGGCTAGCAGGCATGGCAGGCGAGGTGAGGCGAGCTGCGAGAGCACTATCATCGGGCTCCGCATCATTCCGAGCAACCGGCGTCACTAGTGAAGAACGGACAGTCGAAGGAACTCGCGGAGACCCGATCGGAGTCATCGTCTCTCTGTGGCGCTACTTGGCACAGGTCCGAACGGGGCAAGTGGCGCCAGGATATCGGCTGTGCTTCAGAAGCTAATCGGATAGACGACCCGATTGCAGGGGCGGCAGCAGCAGGCAAAGATGCACAATCGGAAGCAAGAGGTCCTACGGCTGAAGACTCGTGAAAAGCAGAGGATTCCTCTGAACTCTCGGTCACAAAGCAGCGCACCTCCAAAAGTATACCCAGCAAGCAAAGCAATAGCAAGGGCAGGGCAAAGCAATGCTTGAGATCGAAGCAGAATACTGAATACCGTTGTTGAACTGCACAAGCAAGAGACAAGTCCTACACCTTGCTAGGCCAGGCGTGAGCGGTCTTTTCCTGAGACCTCGCAAAGCAGGTCTTGAGCAGTCAAGCTGCAGGCGAAACAAAGTTGGCTAGATACGCAAATAGCACCCAAGGTGTACCTGTACGCAAGTCGGTTACGAATCACGCTCGGGTACTTAACCCTGACTGTCGGGATGTGCTGCCGAGCTATATCTGAAGAAGGTCCAGAAGCGCTTACTGCACGGGCCTCTTCATGAAGACGCCAGGCACGCTTCACCTCCACCTCCCCGCAGAGAAGGGGCTTGAGGACTTCAAGCATCATCAGGCTTGCAGGCTTGCTCCAAGTCTTTTCGGCAGCACTCGGATTGCATGCGATAACCGGCCACGACCAATCTAGGTGAACACCCGAATTCTGTCTCACCCTTCAGGGGGAACACACCGACCGCTTGAGATCTGCTGTCGCGGGGCCTGAGAGTAGTCGAAAAGCTCGTCAGGTCCTGGCCGGTTGTCTCTTCCCGAAGCCCAAAACCCAGTGCAGGGCCCAGATCCTCGACTGCCACGGCCGAGCGAAGCAAAGTTCACCTCCAGCAGGCCCGGACTAGAGCTTCGCTCTCTCAGACACTAGCCTCTTTCAACAAGCTTCCAATCTAGGCTTCGGGCAGCGCAATCTGTGCATGCAACATGTCAGGCTAGTAGGCTCGAGGTTTGCGATTGGGTGCGGGTTGCTCGCCACAGAAAAACTCCAACCGAAACTTGCCTCCACAGTTCTCCCGCTCCATGGACCCATGACCGATGCACACATGACCAGCATATACCATCCTGTAAGCATCGTCGCCTCCACCGCCGCCACTTGCGATGAACTTGGGAGAAACAAGACCTTGACGTCAAATCGACGTAAAAAGTCAGGAACAGGCTTCAAACAAGCAAAGACAAGACACGTGGGAACCCAAAAACGTGAGTTCTCTGGCCCGGAGCCCTAGCCTTGCTGTGCCAATAGTGGACACCACCTTCCCAGTAGTTGATGCCACCGGACTCGACCAAACGCATCTGATGATACCTGGCGACTCGGAGTTCATGCAATACCGTGGGACGTGGCCCCCCTGCTGCGGAGAACGCACGTGTGGTACGGTGCCACTCTGCCTGAGCACCGTGCGCTGCAGCTGACCGGTCACAAGCCAAGTCTGCAACATACAGCTTCGCGGGCTTGTCTGGAAAATCGAAGGAAAACCACTCCTGGAGACACAAATAAATGCAGAACTGCCTGGCCGCTTTCGCCAGAAAGAAAGCAAAGCATCACTTCTTGACCTGCTGCAAAAGGAGCAACCACGAATCGCTTGCGACACAATGTCGACACGGAGGCCGCTGCCAGCCGTGTCTGCACGGTCCTGGTCGGCATAGTGCTCGTAGCCACAGTAGCGGAAGCCCAGTTGGCTCACGAAAAGCTGCACCGGATGCGCATCACACGCCATGGCTTCTGACAGACATGCAGGCCTGGAGCTTTCTCCAATCTTGGCAGGGTAGCTTCTGTGTACAGCTGCATCCTTTCTATTAGAAACTGCTGGCGGCAACATGCAGTAGTTGTTGTTAGTAGAAGTAGTAGTAGTAGTAGTAGTAGTACTCACTCACGAGCGTCGCACGATCCGGGTGCATGACGAGGAGGTCAGACCATTCGGTCCGGCTGCTCTGTGGCAGCAGTGCGCCATTACGCACTACCCTTGAGGCAAAAGCTACTGACTTGAGTACGACCACCGATTAGTCCATCTCTTCCAAAAGAACATCTTCGAGAACATGTGTGAGCTGCTCGTCATTGCTAGCTTCAGCTTCCCCAGCTCCAGCTTCTCCAGCAGTCAACATAGTGGTTACCGGATGTTCAGCTGTATGAGCTGCTGGGTGTGTAGCTGTGTAGGCGGCGGATGGAGTAGTAATCATAGGTTCCGGAGGTGCTGGCATAGTCATCTGCATAGCACAGGTATCACCTGAAGCAGCTGCAGTTGCCTCCGACTCCTCCGCGTCCTCGCCATTGTTTGCTGCACTTTCCATCAACTGTGATGCCTGTTCGCGCTCCAGACCCGATGAAGCTGCCGCTCCCGACACTACTGAGTTGTAGCCTGTAAAATTGCCAAAATTTGCTCCGGGTGCTGCTGTATCCATTGCCATGTCTGCGCCAGCCTGGTCTGGCGCCACTGGTTGCATGGTCACTTGCTGAGCCCTCTGAAGGTCCTGCTGCCTCTCTGTACAACCATATGAGTGTCTAGAGCCTCCACTGTCACGACAAATGGAGCAGCAATGAACATGTTGAAAGTCCGCAAACCTCCAGCATCCTGACTGCAGACATATTGTGACCCTTCCTCGAAGTCGCCGTTGCTGGTTTTTGTCGCAGCGCGAGTGTGAAATCCATGCCGACATGATGAACAGCAGTGACGGTGGCCTTCCTCCGTGAAGGGCCTTCTGCATCCCGGCGTGGGACAAATGCGCTCTCGGGTCGCTGCAGGCCTGTTCATCGAAGATGAAGACGCCATGGGGACCTGAGTGCACACTTTGCAACAGGAAATGCATTAGCTGCGTTAGGACGGCACTGCTGCAGAGCAATCACGGCTGTGTGCAGGCAGTACAGTGCTTTTGGCGTACTCCATTCAGCGACGTATGACACTTGCTTTCCTTCGTGTCTGGACAGCAGCACAATTGCTCTAATTGTCTGGTGTAGATGCTACAACAGGTTTACCAGGGTGGAATTAGGGTCGTTAGGGGTGGGCTTCGGCGGAAAGCAGCACTGGAGGCAGTATTGATGGAGTGGCCCCGAGCCCTGCATGCTCAGCTGGCACGTCTGGCAACAGAAAACCCAACTCAGTGAGAAGATTCCGGGCTGGCTCCCTCAGGTGCGCCCAATTGCGCACCGTGTAGGCAACCAGCGTGTAGCGATCATATGTCTTCCAAGGCAATCCCGCATGCCAGCACTTGTTTGCTGAGAAGAGCAGTGCATGGGATTGCAAGGAGGCTACTTCGCCCCGAATCAGACGACCCTCTATCTCATGGTAGACTGTTCCCAGGGGGGATTCCACCCACAGGCCACCTTCATCGTGCAGGCTGAGGCTAACAATGAGGTTTTCCTCCGGGCCATTTTGCAGGTCGCGATGCGCTGGCGCCAGATAGTTGCGGTTGATGCTGATCGAGGTGAAGCGATGTCCCGTGCAGAGATGCTGCACATAGAAGCACAGCAGTCTACAGACGTTGCGATGCGTGAGTGTGTCCTTACACACACCCACCAATCCTCCTCTGGCACAAATGCCAAGATGGAAACTCATCGCCTGTGTGTCAGACTGCATCATCCGCTGTCTGGGCGGTTCAAATCGCAGCATACTCGCAACCAGTCTCACTGCTTCCCATACAGACCCTGAGCCATTGGTCAAAATCTGCCATGCCAAAATCTCGGCTTGGCTGTGGTGTTGGCTTGGCAGAGACATGGGCGGTGGCGTGATAGCCGAAATCTTGGCCCCTACGCGTTCCGACAGCTGAATCGAGTAGTTCACGAAGGCTTCATAGGAAGCCTGGTCCAGTTCCTCCTTGGCATAGACAAAGAGGTCACTCCTGGCCATCATTCCCAAGCCTTCACAAGGCTGTGCTTCTTGTTGCCGCAGGAGCGCGGTGCAGCAGGACAGTAGCAAGTGACACTCCAGCATATCCGCATACACATCATGCGGCAAGCTAAGGAACTTGACCATACAGTGCCGACCTATACAGTGCCGACCTGGGCACAGGCAACCCGAGCAACCGACCTGAGTCGCTCGACCAACAAATGGCTGCGGCGTAAGTGCCGTCATGGGCGCAATCGCTCTTGTGCATGCTCGAGTCAACGGAGGCAGGGCCTGAGTGTCCCGCAATGCAGCACAAGTGCCGACCTGGGCACCCTAGCAGTGACCGACCTGGGTCACTGCAGCTTGATCCAACTGCTGTCGCATACAGCAACTGAGAGTTCTCACATGTTCATTGAAGATTCTAAAGATAACTTGACGAATAAACGAAAATACAGTGTCTAATTATGCTGTGGCGAAAGAGCGCCACTGTCGGGCGGACTCGGTTTTCCGGTCAGTACAGCAATGCGTCGGCAGTGCTGTATCCGTGCAGGGCTGGGCAGCTGCGGCTTGTGCAGAAAAGCTGCCCAGCGTAGCCAACTATTATTCTGTGCTGTTGAATGCACTGAGGAGTCCAACCAGATATCCATCTCGGGCAATGTGCTGCAGGTCTCTTTTGTGGGGTTCTTAGGGGCCTGGGCATCGTTACAGATCTTAAAGCTCCAAGTCTTATTAACCGGGCACTGTACACTGAGTGCAGCTTGGTAATGGCCCGAGTCCACAGTAGACCCTATGTGGAAGATAACCCATATCACCCGGAAGGATTCCCAGCGCACGGCTGTGCCCTGTGGCTCAGCAAATGCGGGCAGGCGAAGGCACTCTCCTGCAGCAATCGTCAAGGGCTGACGATTTTTGCTAGTGCCTGCGAACCTACAAATTTGCAGAGTTAGCAGTCCTGAGTGAAAACGCAGCGCATGCTTTGCATATTGCTGATGCCATGCTTGAATCAACTCTGACAGACTGCGTCCTGGAAAGTGAAGCAGCACTGGAGTCTGCAGGGAACCTCCATCGGTGACAGCATGCGGATTGGTCAGACGAGACTCCCACGCTCCTATATAAGCACTCGCTTGCGAAGTCTCAAGGACATGTTTATGGAACTCTGCTACATCTTGCTGCCTGTGGAGATTCCGCCATCCCCTGAACAGGGACTGCAGATGCAGGCATTGTGGAAGGCACGGTGCGCCAGGTTGTGCAAGAATTTGCACACCAGCCTGTATAAGGCCATAGCTCTCGGCAGGGTGGCGCGTCATGACACCGCCCCAGTAGAATGCCTGCATGACAGAGTTCGCATAGCAAAGATTGTCAGGGTTGCGGAGCTTCGCTACTGGCAGTTGTGGCGCCTCCAAGGATGACAAGCGTGCCGACCTAGGCACGCCAGCAGAAGACCGACCAAGGTCTTCTACTGATTGCGACGACCTCCCCAGTCGCAATACGTCGTGGCTTTGAACGCTTCCTCGATCTGTTTTGCCAGTTGAGGGCGCTGTCCCCGGTCTGGTCGAAGTCGACATGCCACTAGTTTCATGCAGGAGCATCCTGATAGTTTTTGCAGGCCTGCATGAACTTCCGCCGTTGCCGCCTGCCTCAGGCCAATGCTGATCAAGAACGGCACCACTTCGCTTGGTTTGCCGTCCATGCCCTTCGTGTTCCTGAAGTCGGTGAGGATACCCGGCTGAGGAACCGCTTGCTCCATCCTGTCGAGGATGGCCAGCACCTCCTGGTGCTTGATTGGAGGAACCGAGGCAACTTGCTCCTTTTTGTCGGTGCTGTTCCACTCCAAGTAGTTCCAGCACGGTGCGAGGGCGTTTGCTCCCTCGGAGAGCCAAGCGAGAGTCTTGTACTTCTCCGTGATCTCCTGGTCGATGGTCACCTGCTCCATTTTGCTGCGAAGGGCTTTTAGAAGCGACAGCATCATGATGACCTTCAGGGATGTTGTCACCTTCTGTGCTGCATACTGTTCCTGCCAGTTCTCTGCAGTGGCCTTCAGCTGCTGAAGACATCCATGGTCCCCGACATCGCAAAACATGACGAAGCTCGTATCGACACGCAGCCGACTGAGTTCTTTCTCGTGCCGCAATGTCATGCGTGTCATCAACTGCAGCAGCTGTTGTGTTTCCTTGTCCAGGGCTTTGTCCTTGTCCTCCTGTTCCGGAGTCTTGCGTTTTGGACCCCAGCCACCGTAGGAGCGGCCCGTGCCGTTTGACTCGGCTTTGCGCCACTTGCTCGGCTCGTCCGCGCCCCAGTTCTTGGTCTGCAGCTGATCCTCCCACTTCTGCCATTCGTCCTGACTGGCCTGTGGCGGTCCCGCGCGGCTCGGCAGACTGTTGAGCCCCAAAAGCTCCATCTCCCTCTGAGCAACCGCTGCCCTGTCGCTCTCGTCCACGTCCAGCACTGACATGCACTGAAGGAACCTGAGAGGTGGTCTGAAGCAGCAACTGAACCAATGATGCCTGATACACTGCTGGGCAAGCGGCGAGGTGCTTGGCCGGTTGTTTCACCGCTGCCCCACAGTATCGGCAAGGGGAGACTGCTGCGAGCCCTAGCTGTGTGCACCGAGCAACTGCCCGTCTATGTATGGCATGTGTAGACTCGTGACTAAGACGAATATGCTGCTTGAAACCCGTACTAGACGCCCACTGTCCACACACTACGCAGTAGGTACTCAGGCTTTTGCAATATTCTGGCACTCTCAAAACACTCTGCCAATGTTTTAGTGACATCGACTGAAAGTCTGCACTCTGCATGAGCACTCCCTCAGCAGCCGTCTGAGCGTCCTGTGCTGTGGTGTTTGAGCGCACCTGAGGAGTCAGGCCTTCGGACTCCTCCCGAGCTGGGGCTACCTTCACCGTCAGCTCGGCGGTGCACTCTGGTTCAGTAGTGTTTGGCTCTTGCTGCGAACATTCAGGATGCGTACTTCTGTGTCCATGCAAAACAGGACAGGCTTGCCGCAAGTGCTTCTTGAAACCCTCAAACCTGGTGAACATCTTGTTGCAGTGCCGACACTGTGGCATCCCTTTGACGGCATGCTGCATGTACCATTCACCTGTTCGTTTGGGTTTCTTGATGAAGTTGACAGAGTTGCTCGTCTCAGGAACAGGCCGATGCTTGCGTGCTTGATGAGAGAGCATGTGGCGCCTATTGACGAAAGTGATGCCACAGTCCGGACAGGCAACACCTGGGATGCCTTCTGGTGTGAGATGCAACTCCTGCGATTTGCTGGTCAGAGTCCAACCTTCATTTAAGCTAGTTAGCTGTTTCTCAAACCATGCCCGAAGCTGCTGGTCTACTGCATTGGCGCACCTTCTCGTGAGTATCAACCTGAGCGTGGTAGTGGGTGAGTCAACCTTTAGACGCTGCCTCAGCTTGATGGTGGATTCATGATAGAGATGGGCTGGCGACCTTGCAATCGCCCTGAGCGCTCGTGCATCCGCAGCTTCAAGCTCCCTGAGGATCTGTGCATTGACTCCAGTGGCATGCAGCACATACAGTTGCGAGCTGACGACACATGCTCGATAAAGTCTGACTCTCTGGGAAAGCGAGAGCTGCCTCGAGTGAAGCAACTTAAGTAAGCGCTGCCTATTCTGGGCTGCGACTCAGTTTTTCCGAACCCCCAATGAAGCTCTTGCACAAAGATTATCTCTGCATCTTGCTGCTTTTGAAGCCAATCACAGAAGACGTCGTAAGTAGTTGCATCCATCCCTCCGATGTTGTAGGTCATGGCCCGAATTCGAGGTTGGCTTTGTCTGGGCTTCCTTACTGGGGATTGCGTATCAGCCCTAGTTGGCGCTGTCTGCTGTACAGATGTGGTTCCCAGGGATTTGGCTGATCTCCAGCGGCCTCTGTAAAGCGTGATTCCGTTGGCTTCTGCACGCCGGCGCGCTCGCCGGTAGGCTCTTTTCCGAGCCTTGCTCAAGTTAGCAGCCCCAGCATCTCCATATCCAGAGTTTTTCGCCCCCGAAGAGGCTTCAGTATCTGCTGTGGGGCAAAATACAACCCTCGGGTTAACCAGCTGATCTCTGCTATTGTGTTCTCCGACCGTAGCAGCTGGCCACGGGAATTGGGACCCATGCGGCTGAATGACATGCCCAGGACTGTTGTCGGTCATCGGTGTCCAGTAAAGAAAGAGCAGGAAGAGCAGAACAGTCGCCATGAACCCTCAGTCCTACACTCGACAACGAGGCTCCAGCCGAAACCCTTAGTAGTAGTAGTAGTAGTAGTAGTAGTAGTAGTAGTCGTGGTGGTGGTGGTGGTGGTGGTGCAGCAGCAGTAGCTGTAGCAGTAGCTGTAGCCGTAGCCGTAGCTGTATCTGCAATAGTATCCGCAGCAGTCGTAGCAGTCATAGTAGCACTTGTACTCGTACTAGTACTTGTAGTTTACGAGTACTCGCACTAGCGCATGTAGCTGTAGTTGTACTGGCACTAGAACCCGTACTTGTAGTTGTAATTGTTGTTGCAACCGAAGTTGTTGTTATTCGCCGTGGTCCTTGGCAATGCAGCGAGTTCTCCTCGCTGTGACTTTGCCTAGGGTATGTTGGTCATGAGTCACACTCACCACAATCAATCTCTCACGTTTTGGGGGCTCTGCGCGTTGCAAGCGGCCAAAGCTCGTGGGACCCTCGTCTGAAGCCCTAGCAGCTCCAGCCATGGGCCACCTACCGTCCTGATTGATGTCCTAAGTTTGTGAAAATTGCTTCCAAGTCTGTGCTCTTTGATGCTAAACTAGTTGCCCTTGCTGGCTCTCGCCGATGCTGCGCTCCGAAAGTCTTGCGAACGAATGCTGCGCTTTGCTCAAAACACACCCGGGCAGCACAAGTCCCGAGCGTGTTTGCTGCGGGAAGCTTCTGTACGTCGCGCTTGCCTAAGGAGCATAAGTGAGGGCCACGCGCAGGGGCCCCACTCAAAAGCAGTGAAACAGTCACCTGCCAAGAGCTTTGTGCGAAAGAGCTCACGGCGTACATGAGGCCTTGTCGACAACCGCATGAAGTGCACGTGAGCAGGCAGTCGCAGAGCCTCACACGAAGACCGGGACCTGCTCTGAGCACTTACACCGACCACCGTAGTAGCCCATTGTCTTGAAGGTGCAGTGGAAGGTCTTGTTCAGGATCAGACCTGGGTCTGGTACGGCTGTCAAAAGTTGCTCATTTGGCATAATCTCAACCCCCGTGCTGCTTCTTAAGTGTGTGGCCAGCAGCTATGCCAAGGTTGCTCATGAACGAGGACAGAAAGAACACTCTGGCTGGCAAAAGCGGTCGAGACCGCGTGTGGGCCCGGCCTGCCACGGCATTGTACGAGAAGCACCTGAGCCGTTCGTTTTTCGTCAAGCTGAGTGGATGATTTAACTGGCATCGTCCGAGGCACAGCGCGTCAGGGGTCTGCACCTGCAACCATCTTCGGCAAGGACACGCAGACACGAGCTTGTTCGCACTGGCCTGCTTGTCGGTCTCGATGTTGGTAGCCAGGGCTATGGAGATATTGAGCTCAGGGAAGAAGCCCACGATGCTTTGATATCCTCGGTAACTTTCAACATGTCATGAGTCTGGCGGTGCTGCTCCTTCTGGCTTCACTGATTCACTTCCGCTTCACTAGCTGACTAACTCCTTGCTCTGCGTCCGTAAGTGGCACCCAGATGGCCATAGCCAACTCCTGGCTTCTTACGACTGGGCGCTCTTTGTTTCGTGTGCCCTTGTGACTTATTTCTGTCGGAGTAGATCTCCATTTTTCGCTTGGGGACTGGCTGTGGAAGCTTGCAGTTACGACCTGATCTTCGATCCACTTCTTTGCTGTGGCCGTAGATCTGGAAAAGCTGTTCTAACATCAGAGGCCTTTCCCGACAGGCAGAACTGGCTTTCAATTCCAAACATGAGGGAGTCGGCGGGGCGCGGGCAAGGTGCGGATGCTTGGAAGCTCAAGTCGCGCATGCCCAGTTCTGAAATAGACAGCAAGGGATCAGCCCGTGATGCTGAAGCACGCGCAAGCATCTAAACAACTCAGATATCAACATGCCCAAAGCACGAACTGCTCCATGAATCACTCGGCAGGCCTAGCTTGCCGGACTGCCCGGCTGAAAAGAGCCCAACCTGGAATGTTACGGCACATGACACGGATACAGACAGCTGCGAGAGGGGGAGAGAGGGAGGGAGCCCTTGATGGTGAGGCAAAGGGGTCTGGGACATCGAAACGCTCCACTGCTGTCCAGAAACGTTGAAGGCGCCGAGTCCATAGATGTGCATGTGTTGAGGTATCATTTGGTCTGTCAGCTCCTGACCGATCACAGAGCAGTGAGCAAGGCACATCACGCAAAATTGAAAAAAAAACTTCCGTGAAACACACACTAACGAAAAAGTCCAAGCCGACATTCAGTCATCCCTGCCCCTCCTTGGGAGCCACACGGCTCGGAGGCCCCCAAATCTCCCATGCCAGGTCCTCCCAGGATCGCGGCTTTTTCGTTTGCCGCACTGAGGCAATCTAAAACTTTTGCTTCGCTTCTGGAAACGGTTGAGGCAAACCCGGGGTCCGCAATCTGCGCCGAGGTTGCTACCACGTTGCTGGCAGTCCAGCCCGCAAAGACGCCATCGACTTGCCAATTGTTGTGGTTGCTCAAATCCCCTCGGCAGTTGGATCTGAAAAGACTCGGACGAAAGTCGAAGATACCACTTTCTGCCCCAAGCTTCTGGCTCTCAACCGAAGTTCAACTAAGCAACTCCAACCCGTGCCGGTCGAACCATACTGTAGTCAAACCCGAACGACGGAAACCAATGGATTAATCTCTAAATTGCTGTCGAGTGAAAACTTAAGTGCAACGCATTTGGGAAGATGCCTGGCTGCCGGTTGTAAGAAGTTCGATCGTAGCCTGGCACCGCACCGATGTCCTCACGACTGATGCTACCGGTTCGGCCTTCTACTTCTACTGCTACTCTTCGCCAGCATTGCAAATTGCAGTGTTTTGGGCGATGGTTTCGCTTATGACCCGATTCCAGAAAAAGTGCGGGTCCTTCGGAGTGCCTTTATTTGCGAAGCGGATCTGCCCTTGAAGGTACTCAGGCAAGAACTTGGTCTGGTTGAGGTCTGACCAGTTCTCGACCTCAACCATTGTCTATTCTGACAACGGAACCCAAGAAAAGAAGAAACTGGAGGTGGGCCATGCTTCACAAGTTGGGCATCAAGAACTGCTGAAAGCAGCAGTCATCGCGGCAGCAGCAGCAGCAGCAGAGCAGTAGTAGCAGGAGCAGTCGTTGCAGTAGCGGTGGTGCTAGTAGTAGTCGTCGTGGTCGTGGACGTGGTCGTGGTCGTGGTCACCGTCGGTGGCAGAGGCAGCGGCAGTGCAGCAGTAGTGGTGGTGGTGGTAGTACGAGCAGTAGTAGCAAAAGTAGTAGTAGTAGTAGTAGTAGTAGTGGTAGTAGCCACCCCCGCCCCCTACCAACCACCTGGCGCCTCAATCCACCACCATCATCGATCATCATCATCCATCATCATCCTTCATCATGCATCATCATCATCATCATCACCATCATCAACCATCATAACATAAGAGGGTCCGCCATCACAAAAGTACTGTAAATACCGAGTAAAACGGGTC